TCAACAATAAGGTAAGTTTGCTACCTATGATCACTGGCAGAAGTATCAGGACTGGGAGAACAGAGAGACGTTACAGTAGCCAAGTCAATACACCACTTCTCTTCTTGCTATTTCACAATACAGCTTCTTGTACAGCCCTGCATCCACACTAAAATCTCCAAACATCTGAAGCTTTATTCATGCCTCTGTACCATTTTACAGTAACGTTTTACTTCAAAGTGTCTCCTGTAAGAGGTTGGTCATTTTTAAAAAGAGAGAAGATGCAAAAAGTCTCAGGCTTTAATGCCATATTATTTTGACTGTCTTGCTAGTTGTGAAGAGGAAGAAAGGAGGAGACAGTTTTGAAATGATTCTCTTGCACCAGAGCATTTTCTGATAATATAGTGGCATGAAAATGATCAGTTACAAAATATATAACTAGTGCCTAATTTTTGTAAGGCACTAAGCTGAGAGGGAAAAAAGCCATACCAAGTCCTATAGCCAGCAAGCTGTGCTTTCAATCCCCAGTCTGCAGACCTGTGGACTGCTTCTAAACAGTCAGCAAAAACAGAGTTAACAGCAGCAACACTGCTGGTCAACAAGCTTCAATTCTACATACATGGCTCCCCGGAAAGCTTTAGGGAGTCCAAGAATAGAACAAGGAAGTTAGTTTTGTGCTATATGAACAGGACCGCATGATGTATTTTGCAGCTCAAGCAGTGTGATTGCTACTGCTTTGCTCCTAAGACATTCACACAGCCAGGCAAGCATGTATCCAACATCCAAGTATGTAACTGCTATAGCAGAATTAAGCCCTGCTCCCCTAATCCCTTCAAAACTCTTGCACCATAGCTGATGTTTTGCGCAATGCACAGAGTCCATGAAGCGTTCCTGACATGGCTTACCCTCAAAGTACCACAGGACTTGCTGAACAAATACAGCTAACAATCCTGCTGCAGAAGCAAGAATTTCACCAACTTTTCACATTTGCTCCAGGCAACAAAGGCGACTTTGGAAAAGAATGTAGGAAGAAAACTCCTGAACACTGCTGAAAGTGCATTTAACATATTTTTTAAGTTATCTGAGAAGATAAGAGGTATTGCAGTTACAAAAACCCCTAACTGATACTAATTTAAAGAGAGCCATAACTACAGACTGTTTTCACTTGATATGTTAAGGAATGTAGAAATTCTCTTAAGGAATTATATGCTAACGAAAGTACTGAATGGTGTAACTGGGTAATTTGATATCTTTCATAACACACTAGAAAATTTAATCTTGCGATTCTTAGGCAAAACTTAATAACCTAGACTAGAACATCCTATCTAAACCTTGATGCATGAATTTTGAACAATGAAGTAGCCACATTCTTTTGTAGAGTTTTCCAGTAATTAAAAAGTGAAAAAAAAAAATCTAAAAAACTTTCTCTGCTTAAAAAAAAAGTTAATCTTCAACTTAAAGCAAAACTTTGTTGCTTTAAAAATTAAATGTCATTTTTTATTACACTACGTTCTATCACATTTTACTCTGTTACTGTGCTGCTTTCATTAACTCTAGCCATAAAAGCTGTGCTCTTGAATGTACACAGGGTTGCATGTATGTGCTAGCAAGAAAGACTCAGAGGTAAACAAGGACAGAAAAGCCTTACAGAATGTTCTGCTATGCAAAGTGTCGTGGTTTAACCCCAGCCATCCACTGAGCACTACGCAGCCGCTCGCTCACCCCCCCCCCGGGGGGGTGGGGGGAAGAATCAGAAGGGGAAAAGTGAGAAAACTCATGGGGGGGGGTAAAGATAGGTTAAGCAAAAGCCACGCACACAAGCAAAGCAAAACAAGGAATTCATTCACTCCTTCCCATCGGCAGGCAGGTGTTCAGCCATCTCCAGGAAAGCAGGGCTCCATCACGCGTAACAGCTACTTGGGAAGACAAATGCCATCACTCCGAACGTCCCCCCGCTCCTTCTTCTTCACCCAGCCTTATATGCTGAGCATAACATCATATGGTATGGGATAGCCCATTGGCCAGCTGGGCCAGCCGACCCGGCCACACTCCCTCCCAGCCCCCCGCGCACCTGGCAGGGCACGGGAAGATGAAAAGTCCTTGACTACATAAACATTACTTAGCAACAACTAAAACATCAGTGTATTATCAACACTATTCTCATACTACATCCAAAACACAGCACTATACCAGTTAATTGGAAGAAAATCAACTCCATCCCAGCCGAAACCAGGACACAAAGGTATTACCTAAAAATAGCTGGCTTTGTAACATTTAGGACACTTTTAGTTCAAATCCAAGAGGAAGAACATTTATTCACAGATAGCTGTAACAAAAGGAGAAAACAAATCAGGTATTTGTGACACAAAGTAAATTTGTGGGCTCTAGCTCTGTCAGGAGCTCTGTCATGTTCACCAATGGTGCTTTTAAGGAAATTACCACCCTCTAACCATGTAACCTCCACCCTTATATGGATTTTATTATTCCTATAAGAGGAACAGACAGAAGCACAAGTCTGTGCATACTCCTGCTGCTGTAGTGTACAACCCAGCAGATGAACTTATACCTCCAGCATGTTCAACCCTACAGTAATGGCATGAATCCCCCAAGACTGCATTAGACAAATTTATTCTCATTTTTCAATTCTGACTTCACAGTTCCCTTTCTGGAAGCATGTATAAAGAATTCAACGAGACCTCTTCTCACAGAAGCTTCAGTCATGTTCCTTCACCTAAGATGAGCTCACGGGAGCTTCAGTCATGTTCCTTCACCTAAGACAAGATTAATTTCTGGGGCTTAGCCCACTGTGTTACAAAGCTACTCACCTCCCATCAGAAAACACTTCATTAAAAGCTCTGTATACCTAGTAGCTGACAGACCACTGACTCTTGCCAGTATTCAATACTGTATTAGTAGCCTTTAAGACAAGTAAATCCAGTTAGACTTCAACAAACAACAGTCCTAAGAAAGAGATGTCATTTTAGTCATGAAATCTGACAAACTCACAGGCCACTTGCTCTTTATGTCTCTGCATGCCTGCAGTGTTGAGATGGGCCAGAGCACACAATTAGTGCTAACTAGCAGTTTCAGCAAACAGGAAAGGTAAATGTAAAACCAGCCTCTAGATCCCTACACCAATGGACAATATTTCTTTCCAGGAATTGAAAAATGAATTTTGGTTTATAATTAGAGAGAGTAATGCAGGGGGTAATCTGTGGGGCCCTCTACACAGAAAATCCCTTCCATCGCTGCATGTGAATGCAGGGGTCTTGGCTAGACCAACCAAGGGCTCCCTCCAGAACTGTGTCTTAAAGCAAAACAACTAATCATGTATTTTGTGAAAGTTATCAAGTGAAAAGTGTTATTAGCAACTACAACAGCCTAACACAAGCCTTTTGCCTCCAGAAGCCAGTGATAATCAGCTAAAAAGTTTTAGTCCTTTGCTACCAAGTAAGGTGGACACTGGAATTTACAAGGAAATGTTTCTCCCTATTGTGCAAGCAGGTTTTGGACTGTACCGCTCCAGAAAGGGAAGGGAAGAGTCAGGGTAAGATCTGAACCACTGCAGAGCAGGTAAAAAAGTCAAAGATGATGTCATTCATTTCCTCATTGCTGGATATAGAGAGAACAGGCCCAGAACTATCTTGCTCCAACAAGATGCCAGCACATGGTAAATGGTTTAGCTCAGAGTCTCAAAAGCTTCTCATTTTGGTAGGAGCTATCAATGTCCAATTATGTTTTGCATTTGTTGAAAAGAAAAATTACATTGAAATCAGAGATCAAAAGTGCTTTGTCACAACCTGTTTGGGAAAAAAAAAAAGCCTGAAACTATGGAAGGCCTGCATGGAATTTTTCTTCTGTACACAGACACAGAAGCCAGTTAAACAGACCCTTTGGCTTCAGGAGAGACACAGATCACTGTGCAGCAAGGAAGGATCTGTGCTCATTGAAAGCAACAGAGCAGAAGCTCTTGGGAGACGCCTGCTGCCCACAGAGGGAATTCGTTCTGTTTGTAAACTACATTTAATTACAGCCAGAATATGCTTCAGATAAAATGGAATGGAGCAGAGTAATTTCTACGTGAGGAACAACTTGGTTAATGACGAATTGACTGGTCATATCAGTAACTCAGGTTTTTAATACCAGCTTTAAGCACCTCTTACCCTGCTTTTTAGGATGAACTTACAGACTGCCACTAACCCAAAGACGATGCGAACAAAGATTTTTAAATTACAGTCGTGGACCCAAGTATGCACTACCTCCTCTCAGACACACTCAAAGGCTGCAGCTTGGCTCAGTGCTCAGATTACACAGATTACTGTATTAACAGATGAAGGTGTAGTCCTTGGGGAGCCTTCTAATTCCCCAATCTAATAAAAAAAGAAAACAACCCCAACACCTCTTACCTAGGGAACTATAGAGCACTATAGAGCACTACAAAATACCAGTTCAGCGACAGATTTCACTTTAGAGAACCAAAGCAAACATCATGACTATTTTGTGATGGGCTTACATTACCGCAATGTAAGCCCAGTAACCTGTCAGGGTCTAACAGTGGATACTTAAGAAACAACAAAGACTATTTCGACATCCTTCTTCAGGTTATTTTTACCAAAGTCACAACCTCCAGGAATGTTTTAGATAGCAATCAGGCAGACATATTTGTCTGAGTACTGCTGCCTTTAAGAGGCCTGGCACAAGCACCGTATATTTAATTTTTAATTAACTCTCAATCCTGCAAGTATTAATTTTTCATTCTGTTTGTCAACTTCATCAAACTCTATTCAGACAATTAAGCCGTAAGTCCAGAAACCTACAGAAAGGCTCATTAAGCATCTGCTGAACATTAAGGAAGGCTTCAAATTCTGAACAAAGTTTTATTCTCCCTCAATTTTTTGACTTTTCAACCTCCATTCAGTTAGCAATTGAGTCATTTTGTGAAAGCAATAACGTACACATTTCCTGAAAATGTAACAGACATCACATTGAAGGCTGTAGAAGCGACCAGGAAGATATCGTACCTGAACAGAATGAAACCAAGTGATTCAACAGCTGCCCGCCTCACGTCATCATTCACATCACTCACCTACAAAACAGAAACCAGGACATTCAGAATATAATTAAAACACTTGAGGACTCTGCAACATTTCAGGCGAGGTGTCAGGCACACAAGTTAATCAAGAATACAGGATTATAGAGAAAGAAAGTTAACAATCATGTTCAGCCTTAGCTGAAACAGCCTCACCCTTGTTCATATACTGTGACTGCAAGCCTATCAAAGAGCAGGCAGACCTCATCTTTTACAGCTTAAGTTGTTTTTTTTTCCCCAGCCCATCATTACACAGACTATTCACTGCAAACGCATTACCAACTACTTCAGGATCATGTTTTATTTTTTAATAGGTTCCTTTTTTGTGATACCAGGTTGAATATTCTCTTGCTGAAAGTCTACTTATCCTAATGTCAGAAGATCCTGTTATTTCTACTCATAGTATTAAGGAAAGCTTTCATCACTTCACAATCTCCAATTTGGACAAGAACATTAACACTGCAGACACAAAGCCTGTCAAAGTGATGTGCTTACTTTCTCACCACAAATTTCTTGCTATATGCTCCTAAGCCCACAGTACTTACAGCCACATGCAGTAGGCGTCTGATAGCCTTGTTGTTCCCTGAGCCACAGTATGCCATAGCAACAGTGTACATGCCAGAACGACGGAGAATTGGATCCTGGAAGAGAAAGCATCAATATTTAATATCCATCCAAACAGGGACTCAGTAATTCTGACTTTAAATCTGTTCCAGTCTTGGCCTGGAATCTGCACACAGGTAGCCTCACTGCTTAATTGTTTATTAGGGATGAGTAACAGGACAATCACCAAAGCCGGGTTGTCATTACCAATTTCAAGGGGACAGAAAGTTGCTATGCCACAGGCTGCCAAAGAGAGTATCAGGCAGATGTGTGATTCTGCTTCTTATTCACTATCTGCTATTGACCACTACTAGATCCTTGAGAATGACCCACCTACAGCGAGCCTCGTCTGTTTTTAACCATTACACCCTGTTCTGCTCCTTGTTGCTGCTCACAGGACTATGGAGACTGAGTATGAGGCTAGAGAAATACACAACTAAGCACTGTTGTCTTGTATTTTTGACAGAGTGAAGCAACCTGTGAAACTGCCCCATTATGTAAGAACTTCCCTGGTTCGAAACAGCCAACCCACCATAGCTGGAGATTTCACAAAAGGACAGGAAGGTCACCCATGTAACAAAAGGCCCGGGATTAAGTCACAGCTAAACTTACCTTATCTCTGCAGAGACTCTCAATGAGAGCATCTGCCTCCTCCATCCTCCCGTACATGACCAGAGCAATTCCAACCGCAAGGCCTCGCAAAATCTTTTCATGCTGGGTTTCCTGTGCGTAGCCAACCATGTCCTCAATAGCCTGAGCATTTTTAGATCCCAACATAACCAATCCCAATGCCAGGCCAGCTGCCTCACCTGCACAGCACAGAAAAGCAAAAAATCAAGCAAACTCTATTCCCAAAAGCAGTAAATATTATATTCAGAGAATCACACAAGATGTAGGCCAACAGATCACTTCTGGACATCACCATGCCCAACAACCCCATTATCCATGGCCAAATGTGCTTGTAATGATAACCTACCAACCACAACTTAGTGCTCTTCCCTACCAAGTTCAATTTTCTGTTCTTTGGGCCAAGAGCTGCTGAGATATTTTCCTGTGAACCCCTGCCAATGCAGCAGTAGCCCCCACAAGTTTCTCCAAGCCTATCTCTCAGCCAAAAAGGGCACATGGCTTTGGAGATCAACCACACTGAATAAAAAGCGTATGACAAAGGAAAGAATAGAGCAAAATAAGGGACTGTTTAAAGACCTAGCATGTCTTATCAATATTTGGCATAGTGCCACAGACTAGTCCTGACAGGACCTCCGAGCATTACTGCCACATAGCTAAAGAACCATGCTGACCAGGAAAAGGTCAGTAAATAAAACGCAGCTAAGGCAACCTAGAAGCGATCTATACTGCTAACAGAAAACCTGGGGGCGGGGGGGGGAGGTGGAATATCAAACCCCAAAACACCCAGATGCCTGATAAGGCCTCAGATTGTTATTTGCTTTGAAAGCAGAACATTTACCTGTCACTGCATCATCCTGGTACAGATTTGTTTTCAGCAAATCGTACACATCTTGACGTGCTGTCCCCATGGCAGCCAGACCCAAACCCAGGCTGCCACCATGTCGGACAATCTAGAGAAGCATATGCAAGTTCAGTCATCATAAAACAGGGAACAATATGGCTTCAGCTGAAGTAGACAACTTTCCATCAGTATAAAGCTGCAAACTTTTAGCCCCAAACCACCCAAAATGATCTCTTGACCTGTTAGAAATACCACTTTCACCGTCTCAGGCAGTAACTCTGATGAAAGAGCCAGAAAATAGAATAGAAACAGCAGTTCAAAAGCCCATAAACAATGAGTATCAGAAGCTTTACACAAAACACAATAACCTTTAAGGTCTTTTTCCCTACTGAGTGATTTACGTAAAACCATAAATCTGTGTCATGTATAAAAATTGCTGCCTAGTAATAGCTTTTGAATAGAAAGGTAAATCAGTACCCACTTAAACACTCTACATCCTCTTTTGTTCTAACAACGGATAGCGGAAAGGCAGTACATTTGCAGTAAGATGAGTGGGATCCCTTCACAGAATTTTTAAAGCAGTAGTCTGAAATTCCCGAAAGAGAAGAAGGGAACATGGTGGGAAAATACTAATCTATTCCTAACTTAAAAAGAGACTTTTCATGTAAGTCTACAAACAGTAAGTGGTAAAGTAAAACACTTCTTTTTGTATAAGATCCATTAAACCTACAGGGCAGCAGAAGCATTCTGTGGCTTATTCCTTTGACAGCTAAGCCATAAGCAATAACAACGCCTGAATACTGCAGGTCCACTAGCAAAACAAAGTAGCTATACAAGTAGTAAGAAAGATGAAGCTAGATTCACTGCCAAATATGTAAGAATTTCCTAAAAATATTACCTAAACCTTGAGCAACAGACTGTTAAAACCAAACTTTATATTTAAGGTGTAAGTATCACACTACTGCCATGGTCTTGGTTACCTCTAACCCCCACTTCTAAACCAGCCAGCACCCTTCTGGATATTCCCAACAAAACAAAGGTTCATTACTGAACCCAGTACATACATCATTACTGGCATTCTTCAGCTGGTTCAGCAAATAGTCAATGATGTCCCCACCATGGTTAGCATGAATGAGACCCAAGGCATAGAGACCTCCACCTTCCTGGTAGGCTGACCCTGGGGAGGTGTCCTTGGGTAGGTATGTTGCCATTAGCTGTAATGCTTCTTTCTCATGACCCTGTATGTCCAGTGTCCAGCAGGAAGGGAAGACAATGGGAAGTGAAAGGTGAAAAAACAGTGGATGCAAACACCTCATGATAATATTTAAACAAGTCAGGAGAAAACATGTTATAGCCATTACTTTCTCCACAAAAATCAGCCTTTCAGTGCTATACAATCAGCAAAGAATCCTTCTGTACTGGGGTTTTATTAACCACAATACACGCGTATTCGTCAATCACCTGGTCACTGATCTAAATCAGGAAAAATTTGGCCTGAAGCTACACCAATTTATTCACTAGAGCACTTTAATGAGGGCTGAGGCACACAAAACAATTACAAAGACTTTTTGCTATCTCAAAACAGCTTTAAATATACCCTCCCTGTGAATGAATTTGAAGAAAATGACCGCTCCTTAGGTCACCATTCAAACTTACTGAAACTTACTATAGTAAGGCCTTTGGTACTGTCCCAAAACCACTTGAGAAATATACACCTGTAATTTGAATAGCTAGACTTTGTTCAACTCACAAAGGAAGGGAAGAGCTAGGAAGAAGACTGTCTCCTTGAGCCACGTTACCCTACCACCTTTTTGATGCTCAGCAAAACATGCCATAAACTACATTGGATATTAGACGAGATGGACTTGATAAAGCACAGCTTTTCTTTAGTGCAAAGACACAAACTATGTTACAGCTGTGCTTTGCAATAGACTAGGTAAACTGGAGTGCAGTCATTCAGAATCTCAATTTCAATGTTTTAAGTGTTAACAAGTCAAGCATTTATATTGAACAGAGGGAAATGAATGCAACGTTACCTTGTGTATAACACCCAAGCTGGCAGTAGCAGTAAACTTAGCCCAGTTAGTGGCCCTGGCCAGCCACTCCAAATTGTCTCTGGAAGACAAAAAGAGAAAGGTTATACAAAGTTTTTCATACAGCCCGTTCCGCATCCTGCAAGCAGGGTTTCACAGTGCTAAAGACTGCTTTCAAACCAGAAAGCAGCCCCAGAAGGCAAGAAGGCTAACCCCATTTCCACTTTATGCCTCTCTCCCCTTCATCAGCCCTGATTTTTGGATGGTTGTAGTCAAGCTTCTAGATACTGGTGATCTCAGTGAAAGATGGAGAACAACTGCTCAATATGCAGCCCATCAACTCTCTGGGAGAAACTCCAGCAGAGTTTCTGGAGCTTTCCTCAAGTCCCTGGTAAGGTTAGCTCTGATATTTTCCTTCCAAGAGTCATTCAGCACTGTCAGTCTCTACCAAAAAAGATACATCATCTCAGAAATTCTCTAACTAGTAAACAAAGAGAACAGAAATTCCAGATCTCTACCCTCCAAATTGCTCATACGGTTAGCGGTCAAATAAAGCCAATTTGTGAGGATAGAGAAAAGGAAACAATTCCAGTTTCTTCCCTCTGCCTCCACATTAGTTTTCAGACCTTTTGTTTATTCTTCTCTAAGCCCATCAGAGTTCTGCAGCCACCCTTTTGGAAGTATCAAGCTAAGCAGGGCAACAGTGTTGTTCAAACAGCTCTAAAAGACAGTGGAGCTTCCTTGTCATAGATTTACCTGAGGAACTGGTCACTGGTTGTACCACAATGCATAAAGGAGTTTGCTATAACCGTTGCTGTATGACACACGGAATTCCGCACTGCATCCTGAAAGAACAAAAACACTCTCACCAGTCAGCAAAAGATATGCCCTGGGTCGCTAAACATGCTTGCCAGTACACTAGAAAAATGGATTGTAATTATGCTCAATTTAACTGGCAATTTCCCTTTAATCAAAGTTAATAGATCGTTAATACATTCTAACATATCCTCAACCCATCTTTCCAGCGCAAACCAATCCTTTCCGTGAGTTTCTGTCAGAGATGTGATTACATCAGTTGCAGCTTAACTGAAGAACCCCCCCTTTTGGTTCCCAGAACTGAGCACTGCAGAGCGTGTGCTGCTGCTATTTTCAAGCCATCCCTGGAACACCATGCAGGATCACTCCCAGGCACTTAACCAGCAGATGGAAAAGATTTTCCAATACATTTGAAGTGCCTCCTGAAATAGATGAGCCCACTGACAAGCATCCCCTACCATTTTTGCTGATGATGTGCATCTTGTATCACGTATAAAAAACTTCTCCTATGGTTTCTAGTTATCATTTAGCTTAAGCGAGTCTAATTTACCTGTAAGTTTTCATTTGCCCGCCCTTGAGTAACACCTTCCAAAACAAAACCGGTTACGCAATTCACTAGCACTGCCTACATTACAATATCTGATCTGTTTTGTCTTCAATGTGGAAATATTAGTCTCTGAGCATGTATCAGGATTTCTTTAGCCAAGCTGAAGGTGTGGTCTCACGTAATACCTCAACCAAGACACGAACATACTGTAACCTACAGTCCTGGCTCCCCAACCAGCAGCATTTGCAATGGATCAGCCATGGAGCTGGAGGGCGAGTTCGTCCATCTTACTGACCAGATGGAAAACAAACCCACGAAAAAAAGGGGCGAGAAAAGGATTAGTTTCTATAACCAATCGGCAGGGGGGGGAAAAAAAAAAAGCTAATAGCAGCCTGTCATTAGGTCATACTAGCTGGAAGTTGAAACAATCTGATTATATGGCCTTCTTTGGGTGTAATCAGCTCTTCTTCAGCCTCACAGGTTCAAGTTTTAAATGTTAATTTATTATGACTAAAACACAGATTTATATCCTCAAAACCCAAGGAGGCCATGCTAAAACATAAGATGATGTTGTAAAATAACAGCAACGTGGTCAAAACAATCACAGATGAATCAGATGAATCCAAGACAACCATATCTAACAAAGCCTCTTACCTTTGTGTTTTTGAGGATCATGAGGTCTGTATTGTTGTTTCGTATTAAAAACTGCAAATGTAACTCAATGGCCATTTCCCCACTTAAAATTTTAATCATTTTTGAGATCTGGTCCTTAGGCTCTGGGTTCTTCACATACAAGTAAAAAGAGGAAAAAACATGAGAACCCAACTACGGCTCTGTTAAAATACAGTTCATGAGAAGCCACTCTGGTACATTCCCATCACCATATTCCAAAATCTATCAGGTTTTAGGACTAAAAGGACATTGTTTCTGCCCTTGCTGCACAAGCCCAAACCTCCCAGATATTCAAGCCCCTTTGTGAACAACAGTCCAGGTGGGAGAAGAGACTCTTTGAAAAGAAATGTATTCTTTCTCTGAAAGCAAAAGGATATGAGTGACACCTGATATTCTGCAAGCCGCTGTTTGGCCTTACAGATACAATGAGTCTCCTGCAAGAGGCAACCACTTTTATAAATGTGAACCTGTATTTCCACAGAAGGTTTAACGGAGAGCACCACAAAGCCACAACACTTTGCATGACCCTGCTGAGCTGCAGCATCATTCTTATGAGCTACAAGCTTTATTAGGAACAAAGGCTAGCAGAACTAGGAATCTCTAATACATTAATCTTCCAGAGCTATTTGAGAAAGCCTCCTTCTTCCTCACGATGGAACAGTTTCCACAGATTAAGTTCCAGCTGAAGTCCCTTCTGAGCAGGGTGAAAAGTACATCGCAGCTCTTTGTGCTGACATTGTTAGCTGGTCAGAGACCAGCCAAGCATGAGTAGTTCAGCCCTTAAACTAATCCCCTACAATTATTTCTTTGTAATCAGCGTTCTGAATTGTGGAAGATTAAACTCAAAAACCTTTCTGGCCACACAGATCATTTTTATGTACTTGTCCCTTGGCACAGTCAGCCATGCCAACGCAGCAGAAACTGATTCAAGACACCTTTCCTGCACAAAAGCACTGTTTACAGGTTCCTTGATGGGGCAAGAAACTCGACCTCTTTTGTTTTCCTTGTGGAATATAATTTTAAGAAAACACCTCTGTTTGCCCTTGATGAATTTTTAAGTGATCTGCAAGAATCTCTCAGATTCCCAAGTCTAGTTTGCAAACGTGCACCATGGGGAAAAAGGAAAAAAAAAAACTTGTCCTGGGTTTTACTTTCCTCTCTAGTAGCATTTTGTTTCCTCAGCATTAGAAGTGTCACAATTGCATTAGCTATTCTACATGCTGAACTCACTTTCTCCAATATTTGGGAAAAGGAACTAAACAAAAAGATTCAAACCAGCTGGCCCAGCAACACAGCCACCATGCTAGCCAGAGGCAACACCTTCCTCCTTCATGAAAAAGAAACTACATTACGTCAGCATCCCCTCGTGCCATTCCTGCAGAACAGCATCAGTTCTATCCAGCCAGAACTACAGCTGGATTTCAGAAGAAGAAGAAAAAAATGCATCAAGCTAATTCATCAATTAAGGTTCTCAGCAGCAGTTGAATTTCAGGCCCTTTATTCTGGAAAGAGTTAATTATTCCAATATCAACAAAAAGCAAACATGTGAGCCAGATCCTTCTGTCCTCTTTTTTGAGGCTCAGTAATTCCCACTGAAATCTACTTACTTCCCACTCTCCCCCAACTTTCAGTATCTGAACTGAACAAGTATCTGTCAGATATTTGGTCCTCAGAGATCATCTGTCACCTTGTCTCCAAGCAAGACAGAAGTGGAATTCCATTCTTCATTAGCCAAACCAATTTAGCAACCCCAGAGATGCAAAGAGAACACATAAGAAAAACTAAGCAAGGCATATTTTGGAAATGGCACTTACAATTTCTGCAGACTTCCCCGCACAAGTGCTTCCTGGTTTCTCTTCTGCTTCCATTGCATCACTGAAATAAAATAAAAATGAAAAATGCAACCCAGTTCATGACTTGTAACTAGTCAAGCACTATAATTATGGCTGAATGCTGTTCTGAAAAAGTAGCCTGGGATTTGGAGATGACGTCTGGAAACAGGACTTTGACAGGACAAGGGCTGACTATCTGGAGGTCACTGCTGAGAAGCAAACTCCTCCCCAATTCAATTTTCCGGGAACTTGAAGACAAAGGCCTGTAAAACCCCACCCTCTTATTCCATCTATAGAGACAACAAAAATAGAGATGCTTGTACGGAATGAACAGGCAGAGACAGGTAAGAAAACAAGGTCAACAAACAAGGCAGCAAGGATAATTACATCCTCACCCAGAAGCCTTGAGCTCATCACAATTAGGATGGATACTAGAGTGTTGAAATGGAAATGAAACATATTAAGCTGTTGTTAGCACCTTGTCCTAATGCTTCACAGGCTGACTTATAAATTATTCTGTGCCTTTCCTTTTATTTCACTGGAAAAGAAGAGAGGAGAATGCTTGCTATGCCTGTATCACTGATTCAAAAGAATTTAGACCCAGTTTCTCACAGCTGCATAAGCCCTTATATTTAACCAGCCTTGACCTAGGCAGTGTTCTCCACCACACACTATCAAAGACAGTGCAGGGATCAGGTTGTGTACAGACATGACAGCTCTGGTGATTAAAGAGCAGATGGAGCACCAACTTCTTCCATGCTGCCCCCAAGCTGGGCAGCAGCCTTAACATAGCTTGGCCAATCCTCTAAAAACAGAGGTTTAAAACAAAACTATCTATGTCAATTACCTGTAAGCCATCAAAAGAAGAAATAAAGAAGATGGTATGGTTAGTGCCGACTTTGGTTTTCTTAACAGCAGCTTCTTGCAGCTAAGATCCAGTTTTAAACGTCAGGACTTTAACAAAACTCAGACTAGACTTGAACTAGCTCTTTTTAACTGCAAGTACAAAAGGGTCTCTAACACTACAGTATCATCTGAGCTCACTCTTCCCACAAGCAGGTAGCAGATCACAAGCTATGATGTGAAACCAAACTTGCACATAGCTGCGATGAGCTTTTTGCTTGAACTCTCCCTTTCCTTGGCTTTACAAGTTGCTGCAAAGACCACACAACATCAGAGTGTTCCCGAACGATTCACACTATGGCTTAATGAACTACTGCTCATTAGCTGAGCCACAGTAACTGCACCATGCTTACCTCAACTGCAAAGGAAAATGCATTCTTTCAAACAACAGTGGATTCTGGTAATACATAATTTTGCCCTGAGGAAATAGCATGTCTTGTCTATTACCCTGACTTAAATGAAGGGAAGTAACTCGATTGCTTGTAACGGGCATGGACACACAGAACAGGAGGCTCCATCAGAGCAGGACTGTAACCGAAAAATTACACCTCTTCTCAAGCCAATCTCCCCACCTGTCTTTCTCCAATCCAGGGACGGTGCCGGTGTTGGTGGATCCAGGCACGGAGGCAATGGGAGTGCCAACCGTGCGGAGATTCTGGATCACAGAAGACAAAAACTGCTGGCTAGCACTTTCGTACAGATCAAAGCAAATTTGGTAGGCCATGAGAAGGTTATCTTCCTTCACCAGTTTTTCCAAGATGTCGCTCACAGCCTGTGGGTCATCCAGAAATATCAGGCACTGAGCGGGAGGAAGGGAAGAACAGAAAAAAAAAAAAATCAGGAGAAGACATTATATACTTCAGAATGAAAAAGCAACACCACCCAAGGCCACACTCCATTTTCCCCACTCCCTCATCTGCTGCTTCCACAGAACACCCCTTCAAAGAAAGAAAAATTCTCTCTCTCTCATAGGAGATAACAGAAATCTTTGAAGAGTTTTCATAGGTCAGTTTAACAACAAGACCAAGTATTACAAATTCAAGACACATCATTCAAGCCTTCCTATTTCTGCTGCTTTATCTTTGGAAACTGACAATGTTGTCCTACTAAACACAGAAATTTCAAAAGCACATTAAAGAAGCATCAGTCATTTTGTAGGGATGTCTTGGCTAAAATGGAACAGGCATAACACTCCTGAGTCACATGTACATGGCATACCAAGATTGGCAAAGGCCTGAGAACATCTGAGTAACTTCATAACTGGTTGTCTAAACACTTTCAGACTATAGCCTACCAAAAACCAAAGCACTGTAAATGTTCTTGGAGGAATAAATACAATTCCAAGCTGTGAACCTACCATCCGATACTCCCTACATAGGCTCGAAATATTCTGTCGGAGTTGTCTGTGTCCCCAAACTGCCTTTGAACGTGTTTCTTTCTTTATAAATTGACCAAATGTACAATATTTGCATCTCTTTTTCAAATTGATCTCACTTTGATATATATTTGAAGCACACGACCAGGAAAAGATATTTCATTTAACTGAATAAAAAACAGAGATCAGGTAGATGTCAACTCAAATACATCTAAAGAAGAGTAACTTTTGATTGACCTTTAAACATCACTCAGAAATTTACCTGGCACACATTGATGAAGTCTGGTTTCTCCAGATTCATGTAGATTTTAACTAGAACTCTCAAGACTTTATTACGGAACTGTTTATTCTGCATCAAAGACATACAGAGCTTCAAGCTGTAGGCTAGCATCCCAGGCACATCGTTCTGCAACAAAATTCAGGGATATCAGGTCTGGCTTTGGACTGACAAGCAGGGTTTAGAAATTAAAATAAAGCTACCTCCTTTCTATTTTAAAAAGCAGAGCAAAAGACATGCACATATAAGCCTTCACAGCTTCCTTTCCTATTTTTAGAAAAGCTTATATGTAGGTGTATTGCAGTTTAAAGAAAAAAATACTACCAAAAATGTACAGGACCAATATTTAATTCAGTAGCTAAAAGATGCAAAAGATTCATTTAAAAGTTCAATACCTATTTCCCCTTCTTCACCTTTCTGGTTTGAATAATCATTCTCGAAGGCAGTGAAATTCACTGCACTAACATAGAATATCAGCAAAACAAACCATGCACCAAGAAAAGATCCCCAACACACCTATTTCTTGCTAGAGACTGAGAAACAGATTTGGTTACTAGACTTCAGAAAGGTAATTTGAAATGAGGGATTTATAATGGGCAATTAAGTTAGTATATGTATAGGACAGCAAACAGAACAGAGTAAGCAAGATGGACGCCTTATGATTATCATTCCTGTATAAAGAAATGGGAGACATCCAAAAATATGGGAAAGCTGTAAAAAGAAAAGTCGTAAAATTTAAAGGATTTAAACCACGTGTCTGGCATATGATTGAGATACTGCAGCATAACAAGATCACACACAACTGCTGAGCTGCTGCAAATGAAAACAGGCAAGCTTCTCTTACTGCCATTACTAACGACTTACCTTAAACCCTCAGTGAAAGATGTTAAAGCCAGACTGTACTGCCTGGCAGTCAGGGCAGGCTAAGACTGCACACAGCCACTTACTGAAAATTAGAGCAGCTCACCCAACTATCGGATTTTTTTGTTTTGTCTGCCATAAATAAATCACTTACTTAGCCCTAAGGATCCCTTCCCACAGTGAATTACAGCAGATGACAGGCACAACAAAATAAAAGAGGTCTGCCTAGTCCACTATCGTATCTCTACTAGTAGCTGACAGGGAATACCTTAAGAAGAGGGCAAATAGCCAGGCTTCCTGGGAATATTCTCCCAGCAACTTGCAGCTCAGAGATTTCTTAAAGGTAGGTGTCTCTCTGTACTTGATAGCCCTGAGTGGCTCCGCCTTCCATGAACATGTTGAACCAAACACCCCTGAGTTTTATCTTTTATTCTGTTCATACAAAACAGGGAAGTTCCATAGCAACATGGATCTTGCACTTCACTTCTGGATCTATACCTGGAAGAGACTAGCTACGTGCACCTCCTCTCTTGCACATACCGATTCAAGGATGGTTTTCTCAAAGATGTCCAGCCTGCGTGTCTCTAGAGCAATGCCAATGGCCTGCTTGTACTTGTGGTCATCCAAGCACCGCTGGAACATTTTGTTCACTATGCCTTCTAGCCTTTCATCGACAGGTTTCTTCTCCCCTTCCGGCAGCTCCGCATTCTCCACACACTGCTTGGTATAGTGGTCGATACATTTTGCTGAAAAGATATTGAACAAATATACGGGGGAAAAGGTCAACTTCCTAGATGTTTGCAGTTTTTTTACAAATGAAGAGACCAGTATGTGCATGCACACATTCTATCAGCAAATACAGCATATGGGAAACTACACAAAGGTGAGGCACAAGAACTATTTGTGTAGTCATATACAGATAGTAGTGGAAGATACTTATATTCTCTCCTAACAAACTGTGATTTTAGTGCTGAAACCAAGTAGATATTTTTAAAGTGGAACCAAGGAATGATCTTCGTTCAAGTGGCATGATATTTTAAATAAATGAGGAAACAGCAGTAGCAGACTTCCTAGCTCCACTGTAAGCACTAGCTGGGGAGACTGAAAGTCAGTCCTGGTCCATGATATGCTGTACAAGGTAAGTGATACCAGCAGACGAGACTTTTAAAAAACATTCAAATTACACATGCATTCAACATCTGACTTGTTATCTTGTTAAGGGTGATAAAAAAAACCTGTACCCCTCAGTTAGGTGTGCAGCTATACTAATTAGCCGATTATTTCCAAAGTTATGCTGAAATTGATAATAACATTAGCACACAAATGAGAGAAAGGGCAATAAACAACCAAAGCAACTTTCCTATTAGGAATTCGCAATAAGAAAAAGGGTTAAGAATAGGAAAAAAATGCCAGAAACCCTAAGTCAGTTCCATTACAGAATCCCAAAGCAAGTAAAACCTCAAAGTTACAGTAGTTTTGACAACACAAGAGCTTTTCTTTTGCAGCAACAGTTGTTTACCAATGATCGTCTCCACATATTCCGAGTTGTCATTGACATTGAAGAGGTCACCTGCTCCCAGGGCATAGTTCAGTGATTCCTCAAAAGCTCCCAGGTGGTAAAAAACTTTAGAAGCAACTAGAGCAGCAAACTGCCGGCTCCGAAAGCCCTCATCTTCATAGAGAACTTCACTGCAAAGAAGAGAGAGAAGAGCATCAGCTCTGTGTGCTCAGTTCTCTTTAAGGCCACATGACAGCTTGATCAAACTTGCATCTTTGGGACTACAGCTCCAACCCCACATCCACTTAGATTAGTGCTTTCCAGAAAATACGGAGCTAGATGCTGTATTAGCCCATATCAAGCAACCAGAACTACATCCACTTCATATCTCATATTCTTTTTAAGCAGCACACCCTGAAGTAATAACTGTCTTCTCTTACATTTTGTCCACTGACTCAGATATTTCCGCCCAGAAGTCATTGACAACAGCATTCAACTTATGAAGAGCAAACTCCTACAAAAAAATATAAAAAGTTATATTATATTAAAAATGCATTTATTACCTCTCCCCAGTAAAAATGAAGTACCACCTAAGACTGATATCATAAACACGGACCCATTTCAACAGCAAATTCTATTTTAAAAGATCTTTGCAAGCATTCACTAATCTTTGCAAGTCCTTTGCAAATAAAGGGCTGTTCATTTAACAGGTAAGACAACCCTGATGTTCCTTCCCATGGCTTCTTTGTGATGAATGACCGGCTAAAATGACTGATAGGTGAAATTCCTTAAAATACAAAGCTTTCAAAGTCTTTGTGGCAACCTTCGTGTGACACATAGAATTGGCCTGTGGTCTATGCCAGCCAACTCTATTTATTTGGACACAGTACTTTAGCAGATAAACAATATCTGGACTAGAATCAGCCCACTTGTAATCAGTTCAGAACAAAAGCAGGGCTCCTTGGGATCTATCACCACCTATGTCTGTTTCCAAGCAAAACATTTAGGGGATTACAAACATTACAAGATGCACCTCCTCCTCCTAAAAGGGGCTATATTAGCTGTTCAAGTAACTAGCAAGCATCATCAATACACCACTTCTCTAAGTGTTTGGTGTTGTCCTATGGTTTCATATACTCTGTGGACTTAAAGTTTCTGTTGCTGTTTTCTTCTACTACTACTATTGTGATTTTTTTTTTCCAAGTGAAAACTGTAACTGTCATTTTGTTTTACATTACTTAAATTATGCTAAAAACTTGAAACGTTCTTCAGCTTTGAATTTTATGTAGCCAAAATGCAGCCTCTGGAACACTTTTAAGTAACAAAGCCCCTCATCAGAGAGCTGGGAGCTTTGGTGAATAGAGATCTTTGCATGTGAAGCTCCGGTTTGATCCATGTTCAAAACAAGGAAGTTTGCCATCTGTTATCATGTTATTTAAGCCCTTCCTTTCAGCTTTCAGGCTAGATATGATTTGGGGCCCACCTGTTGCTGTCCAACGATTAATTATTGAGATCCACTCATTTCTGATTTTAAGCTCTCAACATAATGCATTTGCTATTATTTGCTCCCAGATGTAAGAGCTTACCTTGAGCTGTGGCTCTTCTTCATCCAGAAGAGAGATAATTCCAGCTGCAAAACAAGATCATAGTCAGTTTTGGACTCTCTGTTTCAAAAGTGAACATGTTATTTAGTTCAAACCCAACAGAACAGGAAAGAAGGCTGTCTCTGAAATGCTGGTTTAAAATCTTCAGTATCAAAATTCAAAGATCAGATGCAAGTTTGTATTAAATATGATACAAAATAGTTCAGAATTTATAACTGAACAGGTACGCTGTCTATAAAAGGTGATCCTTCTTAGAGGAAAACATATTAGACAGGAACGCAAAGAATCTGGGATTTACTTCCAGCTCCATCATTAGTTTGCTGACTGCTTTCTAGCAAGTCACTTCCCACTTCCCCAAGGGGCATAAAGAAGATCATGTCAAAACATCCTAACTTTTTTCATGCCAAGGAAACAGGCCTCATGGCTAAGAGAAGATGCCATATCTCGCAGCTTTAGCAAGACTCCTGACGCTGCCCCAGAACATTTGTACAAACAGCTACAGAAATATTGTTTAACTGACATAACTGAAAGAGAGGTTCATAGTTATTTAGGGAGCTTAATCTGAAGAATGGTTATAGATGGTTTCATTGTCAGACTGCAAAGATGCAATTGAAAGGGTTGGAATAGGGTGTGATCAAAGTCCAACATAATTCACTGCTTTTAATCTTTTATCTGTTGTACAGATTGGTAGCCTTTTTAAATCTAAATAAGACATCAAATTGGAAAGGCCAGCAAGCCTACTGTAAGGCTGAACTGGGCTTTCAAAATATCTTGGCAAATCTAAAAGGAGAGTGTGCAGGTCAAAACTAAAATGTACAAATATAGAAAGGAATTTGAATAGTACAGTGGATTAAGATGAAACATGATCGATAATATCATATGGCTGCAGTGCGAGGCAGAGAACCCAAACTTCACACTGAGTTGCGTAAGTGAGAGCGTTTCTTGGCAGATATGTGAGGCAATCCCTCCCTCTGCTTGGCACCGACACACCTGAGTCAGACCACTGTGTCCAGTGCTGGGCACCATGTTTTAAGAGTTATGAGCAAACCAGGGTGTTCAGAACTGAGCAACAAGAACAAAAAGGTCTAGCAATCGGGACTTACGAAGGTTGACTGGAGGTCTGTAATTGGTTAGTCTACGGAAATCTGGGAAGGGTACAGAGTTCACACGTGTACAGGGCAGCTGCCAGCAGAAAGAGAATAATCTGATCTTTGTGTCAGATATGAACAGGAATAGTAAGACCAAGCTTTATTTGGAGCTTCAAAGATTGAGGTGTGATAATAAGAAAAGTTTTCCGACAGTAAAACAGTTATTCACTTTGTCTAACAAGGCTGTAGAATCTCCATTATCAGGGATTTTTTAAAACCAAGTTAGACACTTGTCCATCAGTAACAACAACTGAAGAAGCACTAATGTGGCCCTTCGCAAGGAAGGCAGGCTCAGTAGCCCACCGCATAGCGCTCCTTCCAGCTGTTTTCTGCAACTCTACTCCAAATGTATGATTTTTTTTTTTTCTTCCCCCAAAATAAGCTCCTGCATTTACCTGATCTATCAGGAGGAAGCCATCTCACTCCTATTCAACATACTGTTTCTACCTTTTTAAAACCCCTTTGAAATGAACTCCTCCTTCTCCTCAATTAAAATAAGACTTAAACATAAAGCAAAGGGTTCAGAAGAAGAAAGCTACTTGCAGACTATTATCCTCTGCACTGTTTCTCTCACAAAGCCACAGCCAGTCACATATTAATTTCTGGCCTGAGTACTTTTGGAAATACTTGTCATATTTTCTTACACTATGAAGTTCTCAGTAGATCCAGAAACAGTGTTTAACATCTAATTCCTCACACGCTTCATTAGCCTGGACTCTTTAGGCTGGCTTTTCCTCTGCAAGGCATTTGCATTTCTGACCCCCTCCAAAGTTCAAGTCTGCCTCTTCCCCCTTCCTCATTCTCTGCCGTACCTCCTACAAACCCCCACTGCCCACCAGTTCTATACCTCCTATGCGGTATTCACGTT